CTGTTTGTTTTCTACCATTTTCCGGCTGCAAAGGGAGAATTGGTTAAGCTATGATGGAATGGATATTCTAGCACTTCAAAAGTCTAAAATGTTTATTATCTGGCCCTTTACAGAAAAAAATTTGTCGATGTTTGGTTTAGAGGGTTATAATCAGCATTAAAAGATGAAATAGACTTGGATATGATGGTGTACACTTGTAATCCCAGCACTCTGGGAAGCTGAGGCAGGAGGATCACAAGTTCAAGCCCAGCCTGGGCAATGTAGCAATTTTGAGAACTTGTCTCAAAACAAAACAAAAAATTTTAAAAGGTTGATTTGGCCACATATGAAGCCAGTGACAGTTAGGCTCTGTAATTTTTCTTAGCTCAGTGCGAATGTCCTGGGTTCAATCCTTGGTACTTAAAGAAAGAAATAAACAAAGAAAGAAAGGGGAAAAAAACAAAGAAAGAAAAAAGGAAGAAAAGAAAGAAAAAAGTTAGATTATAATACAAAAGACCAGACTGCATTTTCTTGAAGTTTTATATAGACATACATTCATACTTGTGGGTGCTGGTTATAATTTACTGATCTCAATGGATCATGGTCAAAACAGTTGCACGACTGTTCTAGAGCACCATTCACTTTTGCCTTGGAAATGACTTTTTGTTTTTCAGAGAGGGTCTTCCTATGTAGTTCAAGCTGGCCCAGAACAAACAGCAACCCTTCTGCCAGAGTCTCCCAAGTGCCTGACTAGGAGATAGGTTCTTTCAGAGGCCTATTTGTGATAGTGCTGACTCTTGGGTTGAATGGGATCTATGCACTTGAGAGAGGGCATGGAATCATTTTTTTGGGTTGTGGGCTGACTGGGAATACAAGGAAAATATTGGATGGAGGACCAGCAGGAACCTGGCCACGAGAAAGCTGGGCAGGCCAGGTTAGAGTCAAGAAGCTCTCTATTAGGAGAGCAGAGGCTGGCTAGTCAAGTCAGAGCGCTGCAGACTGCTTCAGAAAGCCCCAAGCGGAGAGACTCCAGGCCTCGGGTCAAGCTGAGAAGAGTGTGCTGACAGATTCCAAGCCTGTTCCCTGGGTGCTGTGGATGGAAAACCAAGGGCCCGAGGAGACCACACACAGACTCCAGGGGCAGCCTCGGGAGTCTCAGGCCTTTGACGTCTTTCCACCCCTACATTCATTGTCTTAAACTCCAGCAGTGCCTGGAAAGAAACTGGATGGGAACTGCCTGGGAGCACTGACTACTGGCTTCTCCTTTTCCAGCCGGCAGAGAAAGGGAGAAGTCTTCCCACTGTATCAGGACAGGGAGTCTTGCTCTCTACAATTTTCCTTGTTTCAGAGTCTCTGACCTTTAGTAATTGTCCTCCTTGTGCCTCAACACTGGGCATCTTTCTGTTAGGCTGGAAATCATTAGTGTTAGGAGGTTGAAGTCGTCAGATGGTGTCTGAGATCTCCCTGTTATTGATGAGGTAATATTGGGCTCTTTATGGCTGCTGCCACTTCAGAGACACTCCTAAGTCCACAGAGAGAATGGCTTGGAGATTTATAGTGGGACCAAAGAGATAATGAATCATTTTCCTAGTTCCTGGAGGATCCTCTTACAAGAAGATCTGCCAGATAGAAATGTCCAGAAATTTATTGGTAATATCCAGCCAAGGACACATACTAACACTGCTTCATTTTCATGATGCCTCATGACCAGACAGGCAAAGAGCCCTGAGAATGTCCTTGGAGAGCGGGCCACAATCACGGGGTCTCAAATGAGGGCTGTACCTTAGCAGGAATGGGTTGGGAGGTTCGTCCTTTCTTTGGAGACTACTATCAGAATCTGCAGGGAGCATTCAAGATCTGCTTACCCAGTGGTTTTCCAACATATTAGAACAGAAGTTCTCTGAGAAAGTGAACTCACACTCGGAAAATGAACCCCAGTGTGGAAAATAACTGGAAGAGGAGCTGCTCCCAAGACCAAGGTGGGGAGCTTGTAGAAGAACTTCACTTGCCAACAGAGATCCCCCTTTTCTCCTGGTGCCACTTCGAGGCACAAGTTCTTATTTTGCAGAGAAGAAAAGTTGGGTCCTAAAACACTGAGGAACTGCTTGGGTTCTCCAGAAAGCTGATCCAGAGGCAAAGGCAGCCTCTCAACATTTTCCATGCAAAAAGCAGTGCAGTCTTGTGGTCAGTCCTTTACAACTCTACAGCTAGCGGATGAGGGCAGTTTTGGTGCCAGGAGCTGTCTTATTTCTAGGAAAGCTGTTGCATTTCATTAAATATGTTAGTTGGCCCTCTCTCTTTTGGTTTTCTCAAAGATGCATGAGGTGAGATAGATGCTGAAGACATGGGCTTAAAGAAGAAGGGAATCCTAGGAGCCAAGATTCAAAGCCAGGCTTCTTGATGGGCACAGTGGTACATGCTGTAATCCCAGCTACTGAAGGCTGAGGAAGGAGGATACAAGTTCAACACCAGCCTGGGAAACTCAGCAAGAGTATGATTCAAAAAACAAACAAACGAAAACAAAATCAATCTTCTTCATTCCCTGTCTCATTTTCTAGTTGGGTGGAGTCTGGGCTCTGCCACAGTCTAGCTGGGTGACTTCCACCTTTTTGAGCAGGAAGGGAGTAATGATGGGGTAGGGACACATCAGGTTGCCTTGGGACTAAACCTTGGGGTAAAAGGCAAATGTTAGCATCAGCTGGTGTCAGAGAGCTGTGGAAAGGAAGCCTTTTCCTGCCATGGCCTCCTGGGGCAGCTGTCTTCCAGCATCCCTGGGCTGGCCCAGGCAGGTCTCAGCTCTGAGCAGTGAATGTCTATCTTCAGGATGCCTTTAACTCTAAGTCCTTATGTAGACTACTTAGGGATTGTGATGGGAAACAGATTGAGAGACAGGCAGACAACCAACACTCACACACAGCATGTCTTCAAGAAGAAGCCAAGAAATATGAGAATTAATATTTTGTGCTTCCCTGAGCAGTGAAGCTGGGGGCCAGAAACCAGCAGCCAATTATGGTCTCTTGGGTTTACTCACTCTGGAACGCGGGAGAAGCCAGCTCCCTTCCCGGGTGAGGGAGGACACTGTCTTTATTGAAGTTTGTGTTTCAGAGAGGCTTTCTTTGTCATGACTCTTTATAAAGAAAATGGGCTTTACTGTAGTGGTAGCTGGCTAGGGCCTGGTTTCCTTGAGCTTCACCGAATCAGCACCCCTGATGCAAGAGAGAAGTAAGGAAAGAGAAGGACAGACAGCCTCGGAGGAACTGTGCTGATTTCCTATGGTTGCCATAATAAATCACTGCAAACAGTGGCTTAAAGAAATAGAAAGTTACTTTCTCTCAGGTTTAGAGACTAAAAGTCTGAGGTCTAGGTAGCAGTAGGAACACATTCCCCCTAAGGTCTCTAGGGACAAATCTTTCTTTGCCTGTTTCCGCTCCAGGTGACTGCTGGGGCTCTTTGGTGTGTGGCAGCATGACTCCAATCTCTGATTCTGTCTCCACATGGCTTTCTCCTTTTATCTGCTTATAAGCACACTTGTCATTGTATTTAGGATCCATACCAGTAACCCTGGGTGAGCTCATGTCAAAATCCTTGATTTAATTACACCCAAAAAGACCATTTAAAAAAAAATGATCATACTTATAGGTTGGAATGATAGAGACATTCTTTTTTAGGGCCATCATTCAATCTACGGTGTCTAAACACTTTTTCTACTATAGTTTCTAAATAAATTTTCTACGACAGTGTCTTAAAACTTTGCAGAGTGATGTTGTATATGTCTCCTAATATAGTGATGAAGGTATTATTTTCATTTTCCAGAAGAGAAAGCTAAAGTTTAGAGGGAAGAGATAACTTGTTCAGGTTTACACCATCACTAAGTGGCTGGGCTAGATTGGAAACTTAGAGCTACATCATCAGACATGGAGGAAGGGGAATAGCATGTGAAAAGGTAAGGAGGGTGCAAGATTGGCCCAGTGAGGAGGATCTGAGAGCAGTTTCGTCTTGCTAGAAAAATCTGTGTGTGTGTGTGTGTGTGTGTGTGTGTGTGTGTGTGTGTGTGTGTGTGTGACAGGAGATAAAGCTGAAAAGAGTGTTAGGCAGGCTGGGTCTTATTATGGAGGTGGAGGGGGGTCATCCAGGGAGATGGATGCACAGCCAAGGCAAAGACAGAAAGGGAAGGAGAATCTGGAGTCCAAAGGAAGGCCAAGCGATGGGTCAGGTGATCGATGAGTGCAGGGAAATTAGGAATCTAGAGAATTTCCAGATTTGGCCATTGAGGGTGTTGTGAGGCTGTCAATTGTGTAGGGAGGACATAGCAGTGGGGATTCATGATCTGTAGCTGCTGGAGACTTCTATGAAAGCAGCAGAGTCTATCCTTGCAGGGGAGGATAGATGTGAGACCTCCACCATCAGACAGTCCACATGAACCTTTCTTAGAAGGGGAGGACTTAAAGAAAGAGGTTCCAGGGGCTGTTGGCAGAAGTTCTGGCTCTGTGGGGTGCTTTCCTCATTAGGCAATTCTGTGCTGTGGTTCTGGGCACTGCTGTAGACACTGAGCTTCGTCCTGTTTCTCAGGACACCCAGCAACTCAATGAGCTACTTAATAGCTTCATTAAATTCCCTCTGCTTTAGCCAGACAGACTGGATCCTGTTATTTACAACTAAGAGCCCTGAATTATATAAGTGGGTTTGGGGGTTGAATGTGAAAAAGTGTCAGGGGACAAGGGCATGGTGAATGTGAGGTGTCAATGTAGTGACACTCAGGGCCACGTGGGTCAGGGGTGCAGATCGGAGACTACTGGCACTTAGGTGGCTGTGAGGGGCATGCAGGAGGGGTGTGTCATTCCAAGCTCTCTAGAGGCTGTGGCAGGAGGATTGCTGCAAGTTTGAGGCCAACCTGGTCTACATTGTGAGTTCAAGTTCAGACTGAACTAAACATAATGAGACTCTGTCTCAAAAAACCAAAACCAAACCAACATGAACTTTACCTCCAAATCTGCCAAAAAATCTCTTTTATTATTATTTTTGAATCCAACTGATCACTGCAAAGTTTTCTGCTTGCACAATAACAAGGATGGCAAGAAGATCTGGAGGAAGGCATGTATTTTTGCAGGCATGTGATATTGTACTTGTGTTATTCTGTATTTTGAAATTTACCAAATCCTCTCCCCAAATTATTACATTCTGATCATCATATACATTTCTGTTACATTAGGATTACAGACAAGTTCTGTTCTGAAATAATTCTAAGAAAAGTTTTTGTATTTTATTTTCACATTGAAAAGCAGACTTCCTTCAGCCTCCAAGAGTGTGTTCATGTAAAATTAAATGAATGCTAGCAGCAAAGCTTTGTTTTTCTAAATGAGAAACGAAAAGAGTAGTCACCTGTTCCAGGAAGTAAGCAAGAAGAATAGGGAAAATGCTTTGCTTTTGGCATTCAGAAGGCTGAGGCTGACCGATAAAGCTGAGCTGCTGATGTGATGGGAACTGGAGAGGGTCTGGTGGGAATGAGGAGAGAATGGGAGAAGAACAGAGCAAGGGTAGCCTAACCTGGAACCTGAGGAAGGAATGAAAGGAAAGCTGTGAGCTGAGGAGAGAAGCCTAGTTTGCTCACAGTCTCGGGGGAGGAGCTGTGGCGATCTGAGACCATGGTGTGGACTGAACTAGGTAACTAGAGTCCCATGTAGTCAGGTTGTTTAGTCCTAGGTGAATGATACTTGCCGATGTTATTGTAATCATGTCCCTGCCTTGTGTCTGCTAGGCGAGAGCTCTACCACTACGCTACTAACCCAACCTTTGCTTTTTTTATTTTGAGACAGTGTCTTGCCAAGCTACCTAGGCTGGCCTTGATCCTCCTGTTCAGCCTCCTGAGCAGCTGAAATTACAGGTACTCCTCATTGCCCTGGTGCATCTCCTCTTTTACATCTAATCGCTGAGTAAAAAACTCTTTCAATCATTGAAACCCAGCCAGTCAGATGGGATCAAAATAACTTGGGTAGGGACTCAAGCTTGAAATCCACAGAGTTCTGAAGTCGAAGTTGTAAACTGTACCTGGGTCAGGGACCTGGGATGGAGTTTACTTTACCTTCCCCCAGGTTGGGAGTTAATTTTTCTGTTATCACTTAATCTGGGTATTGCTCTCTAGTGTGGTCTGAATATTTGTGTTCCCTCAAAACTCATGTGTTGAAACTTAATCCCTAGTATAAGAGTATTTATGGAACTGGTTTTTGTTAGGAGGACAGAGTCTTAATCTCCTTATGAAAGAGGCCAAAAGAAGCGTGTTTGCCTCATTCAGTCAGGTGTAGATACAATGAAGTGTCATCTATCAAGCAGAATGAGCCCTCACATGATACCCAATCTACCTGAAGCTTGATCCTAAACTTCCTAGCCTCCATGACTATAAGCAACGCATTTCTGATGTTTATAAATTGCTTGGTCTAAGGCACTTTGCTCTAGCAGCTTGAACAGACTAAAACACTCCCTTACTCTGATGCTTGTGATTTGGACTGGTTCCAGAAGAATGCACTCTCTTTCAGTTTCCTGAAACACAGGAGCTCTCTCCTGGCTCTCTCCTTTGGAGAAGAGAAGGCTAGGACCAGAGGCTTCCTCCCTAGCAAGAGGTGCTATGCCCAAAGTCACTTTCCTGCCAGATTGGCATCAGAGTGCCCATGCTTGTTTGATCGCAGAGAAGGCTACTTTTACGCTCACTCCATGCACTGGGAGGCCAGCAGTGTGGCTCCTAGTGTCTTTTACCTGAAGCCCAATCCAAGCATGCTTCTCTATAGGATACTGAGAACATACCTGTATTGCTGATTGGTCCTTGGTGCTCATACCAAGTGATACTTGCTGGTATTCATCCCGTGTCTGTCAAAGATCCTTATGTGTGCCACTCTTGTGAGCATCAACGGCACAAGCCTGTACTTATTTTCTCACTGTCTAATGTCTCCTTAACTAGAATTTTTGCCTTTTGTGGGGCCAGGGACACCACCTTAACCAAGCATAGCTGAAAAGCTACCTCTGTGCTGAGCCCTTGGTAAATGCCCACATAATCCTGTTAGCTTGTGTGCAAGAAAATCAGTAAGCCTCTATATCACACTGTTTGGTGCAGGGAAGGATAAACGGCAATGTTGCATGCAGATCCTTTAATTCATTACCAAAGCGCTCCTTTACCCTGAGCATCGTAGAAAGATGCTCAGAGGCAGACATGAATATCGAGTGGGGCATACATAGTTGTCTGAAGCGCAGTGTTCCCGGAAGAGTTAGAGCACCTGTCAAAGCCCTCGACATATCCATTTTTATTAGTCTTGATGGTGATTTGATGTTGTTAGGGATTCAGGTCTCATCTTTGCCTCTGAGATCATCTGAGTAACGTTGGTGATGGGGAAGGGAAAGTAGAGATGAGGCATCCACAGGCATCCTGCATCTGATCATATAAATCTGGGAGGAGGAGAGAGGCACCTGCCTTCCAAGCTTGTTGAGCACAAGACTGAGCCACAAGTGAGAGACATCGGAGAGAACAACCTTCACCTTCACCCCAAGTGACCATGAGAGGTGCCATGAAAGTCTCAGTCATGCTTCTCCTGGTAACTGTGTCCGACTCTGCAGTGATCACGGGGGTAAGTCCAGTGTGCTCTGTGCCTGGGTTTTCAGACCATGTCAGCTTCTGCACAGTATATGAGCTCTTGAACTGCCTGGCACATCAGAAATAAAGGGGAGCGGGGAGGCAACCATCAACAGCGTCCCTGGAGAGGGGCAGCATGTAATTTTCAAATAGTTACACTTTGTTCTCGTAATCAGGTTTGGCTTTTGAGAAGCTGTGTGTGAACCAAATCTTGTTTTAAATCCATTAAGAGAACATGAGAAATTTAAATTTTGTTTTTTTCTAAAGCGAAGATTGTATAATAGGGAGTCCCTTTACAAAGTGGGTTAGCACCCCGTAATTTATCTTTTGTGGGAGAGGCCCACATGGCAATTGGAACATAGCATATTGGCTTCATTAAAGAGTTTATTAGCTGCTCTTTCGTCCGTGTCGCCTCCTCTGTGTCTGCTTTTCAGAAAGGTTGTTTTAAAATCCCTTCTTCTGCTCTGCACCCATTTAGCGCTCAGTGAAATAAAGGTGACACCAATATTGGGCTGATTACACCCTCAACCAGTAGAAATAGAGCCTGGCAGCAGAGTAGCCAAGGGAGCTGTGCATTTCAGAGTTGAAATGTCACCAGCTATGGCGTCCTCTCAGATGTTTGGTCCACCTTGAACCATTCTCGCCTGGGCATGTGGTGAGTGAGGGTGGAAGGAACATTCTTATTAAAACCAAAAGCAATGCTTCTCTGAGAGCTTTCTGGGTAAAAGTCACCAGAAAAAAGAAGGGAAATTAATTTTATTTCAACATTTTACACAGAGAAGGGAAATACAGAGTAATGCCAAACAATTCCTGGAATCAGAGTAGTTAATAATGTTCAGAGAAAGGATAACTTCATTCTCCTCTTTAAAGGACAAAATCTGAGTTCAAAAGAAGAACAAATGCTAAGGGCAAACCAATGCCTTGGAGACATCAAACAGAAACAAGATTGTAAGGCAGAAAGCATCCTGGCCTCCTGTGGTGTGTGCTAGGGTCTGGGTGGGAGTAAGAAGGAAGGAAGGAAGGAAGGAAGGAAGGAAGGGGGAGGAAAGGAAGGAAGGTGAGAAAACATGGGTGCCCCACAGCGAGGGAGGAAACACATGGGACCTGGAAGCCCAGCTACATTTCACTGGGCTGGCACCAGAGCCTGGGCCAGAGCAGCAGCGGGGTAAACATGTGGGAAGGTGAAAAGCACAAGAGAAAATGAGGGTCAGGGAAGTGTGTGAATGGCAAGCTGAAGAATTAAGATAGGTTGAAGGGAGGCCAAGAGCCCTCGGCCACCATCATTTCTCCATGTCCTACTGGCGTCCTACATCTGACTCTCCATGCTCCCGTGATCCCTGGGCCGTGACTGCTCCTAAGTCCAAGTTGCATGGCCCTTTATCTCACAGCAGGGCAGCAAGGTCCCAGCACCGCAGGAGAAAAGTTGAGTGAAATCTGCTTCTCTACCGTCAGCTTTCAGGAGACTGGCTGGAGACAGGCAGCCAGTGATGCCATGAGCACCTCTTCTGGGTGAAAAGGGACTTGATATCCCCTTTCCCTCCCAGAGCTGAGAGGGTTGAAAGCTGCTAGTTTGGACCAGTCTCACACAAGCACTAGCTGGTCTCTGAGGCCTTCTGCTAAGGTAGAGCACATCAAAACCCAGCTTCAGACTGCAACTCAGCAATGACAGAGAGCTTCTCTAAAGTGGCCAGTTCAGGGTCCTCTCTGTCAAGTCCTGCCTGAAACCTGGAGCACTTCAGAATCCTGTTCTGCTGACCTGGCTTTTATATAAAGTGGCCTTGTGTTGCCTTCTTTACAATGGCAAGGCCTTGAAGCCTCTTCTGGGAGCCTACCTCAGCAGAGAGGTATGGGCAGAGGTATGTGTTCACAGCCTGAGAGCCAGCGCCAGCATGTGGAGGAGGCACCAGCTGCAGGTGCTGGGGAAGGGGAGAATACTGGTCAGAGGCAGCTCAGTACTGATCACCAGGGGTCTGGGACCCACCACCCACTCCTGGAATTCTAATTTACCCAATTTTATCAGCATCCACCTTGCATCTGCCGGTACAAGAAAAGCTCTACCTGCAAAGCCTCCTAACTTCCAGACTTGCCAGAGAAGGAGGACTGCCTCCCGACAATGGCCTCCGAGGACTGGAGAGGTTCCTCAGATCCAGGTCTGATGGCCTTTGGACCCCTAAGCATCCTGCCTGTGCAGGGAGCAGTGACAGTAACCACAGCCCCAGATGTCCCTTTAGGCAGAGGCTGGGACAATGCTCAGCCTCTTCTTCTGCACTTTTTGCTTTTTGTGTTGGAGATTGAACTCACGCTTGCCAGGCAGGTACTTATGCCACTGAGCTAAATCCTAGGCCTTCTTCTGGATTCTGATGGAGCATCTGGTTTCTCTCGGTGGCACTAATGGGTTGCCCCTTTCTCTACCCTGCAGGCCTGTGAGTGGGATGTCCAGTGTGGGGCAGGTACCTGCTGTGCCATCAGCCTGTGGCTTCGGGGGCTGCGGATGTGCACCCCGCGGGGACGTCAAGGAGAGGAGTGTCACCCGAGCAGCCACAAGGTATCCCGCTGACATGGGGCCCTTGTGCAAGGACTGAGTTGACAGAGAGGTCCTGGGCCTGGCTCCCCTGGGGCTCCTGAGGACAAGCAGGGAAGGGCAGCCTTCTCCTTCAAGGTGGCTCGAGCCCCAGCCTGCAGGAGGGCAAGCAGGTAGCTATGGAAGCACTGCTGGCGGTCCTTCTGCCTCACCTTTCTTAGAGCCCCGCAGATGATGTTTGTGCAGTGTACAGGGCCTGACATGGACCATCTACCACCTAGACATGCTGGAGAATCACGGATGTATTGCTCCCCACAGCAAACTCTGAGCCACAGTGATGAAACTGAGGGACAGCAAGGTCCAGTGATTTGCTCAAGGCACATGGCCAGAGAGACACAGGCACTGGAACTTAAGCTTCCAGTTGTATCTCACAGCTGCTGGGCACTGTCTCCTCTTTTGGGGTACAGTGGTGGTCCCAATCACATGGGCTCTTACCTCTTCATTTGCTGCCTGGTCTGAGGCAGTTAGCTTAACTGCTCTGAGCCCCATGTACACTCTCATGAAGAGAGTGAACTAATTACCCCGAAAGTCCCTTATGAATCTCAGAAATTCAGCTTTTGAAAGTGTCTCAAGTCCCTTTGCTGCTTGGGAACCTCCCTATAATAACATGAAGTTAGACCAGAAGTGGGCCTCTTAGAACCTCTGGGACATCAGTGGGGATGTGTATTCAGTGGGAAATAGAAACTAATGCTAAGTGATTTTGACCTGCCATTCTTCATACCAGACTTTTTGTAAATGTGTAATTTAATGTCAGAAGAACTATTAACTCATTTTATTTTATTTTTGGTCTTTTTCGTTTTTATCGGTACCAGGGATCGAACTCACGACTGCCTGCTTGCAAGGCAGGCGCTTATGCCGCTGAGCTAAATCCCCAGCCCCTATTAACTCATTTTAAACATAGTACAGTTGAGGCACAGAGAGGCTAAATAAATGGCTGGTTCCCATATAGCTGGAACGTGTCAGGCCTGGATTTGAACCTGGGTAGCTGACACTGAACCTATTTTCTTAGCTACTCCTACTCAACCACCTCGAGGCTCAGGACTCCTTTTGGATGTGAGTCAGAGGGCAAGTCTGTCCCTGCACAGCTGCTCCCGGGCACCCAGCATGGAGTTCAGCCCATAAAAGATGAGCAGTGGTGTTCAGCTAACAGATGTGTGCGCGTGCAGGCACTTGTGCTCTGGTCTGTGGAGCCATGCTGCCTGGGTCCCAAGCCTGGCTCCTCTGCTAACTAGCTGTGGTGTTTTGCTCAGTTACTTGTGCCTACATCTCCCCATATACAATCACTAATTATGCTAGGTGGTGGGAGGTGGGGTGAGTCATCTGCCAGGGCTGGGGAGGCTGCATTTGCTAATGCAGGAGGCTACTTTCTATGGGAAGCTCTCACTCTCTTCTTTTCCCAGGTCCCTTTCTTCCGGAAACGCCAGTACCACACCTGTCCTTGTTTGCCCAACCTGCTGTGCTCCCGGTTTCTGGATGGCAGGTACCGCTGCTCCATGGACTTGAAGAACATCAACTTTTAAGAGCTTGTCTGCTCTCAGAACCGGACTACCCCTGAACTGCCAGACAGGCCCTGAATGTGGCTTCTTTTGGACTATGTGATCAGCTTTCTCTAACTCCCTCAGTCCTACAGCACATCCAATCCCTCCTGCCCTGCACACATTGCACCAGGTGTGCAACCTCTGGCCATAAGAGCGGTCAGCCTGGTTGTCTTGACTGCTCAGGCTGCCTGAGAAACTGAATGTGGAAAGGTCATCACGGTCCTATGCAGGCAGCTCGCTCTCCTCCCTGGGCCCTGCCCCTCACTTGCATGAGCCCTGCCCCTGAACCAGGCATTCCTGAGCACAGGTTTTTGGTTGCATTTCTTCATCACATGGAGTCTGGGAAGACCAAACTGAAAGTTGCCCATCTTCCTTTAGCTGATAGCTCCTTATGTTTGTATCTCAGGCCTGAGGGACCTGCTCCCAGAGGGCAGAGAGCAGTCACTCTGAACTGGTGTGGGGAGCTGGAACCATCAGGCAGCCTCCTGACAGCTCCAGTTGCAGCCAGCTTGTGGCCTAAAGCACCTCCTAAAGCACCTCCCTGACACCCTTTGCCAATTTACCAGAGAAGCCCCCCATCCTCAGTGACTCCATTAAAACACAAATGCTGGAGTTCAATCTAATCTGATGTTGATTGGTTAGAAGGCAATTAGGCAGTTATCTCAAGCAGCCCCTGGAAAGCAGAACTTGAGCAGGGCCCTCCCTGTCTGACTAGGAAAAAGTGAGCAGAAGCAGGAAGAAAGGGAGGGAGAAGAAGAGCAGCACCTATGTACTTCATCTTGGGATAAAAGGAGGACAAAACCCAGGTGTGTAAGCATGGTTCTCCGGCCTCTGCTTCAGCCAGGGTCCACACCTGTGTGGGGCCACGCTGTGTCCAGGTGGGGGAAGGATGAAGCTGGTGTCCTTCTCCCAGCCAGCAATAGTTTTGGAATAGGTGGATTTCAGGGTCTTTTTAAAATGAGGGTTGAAAGGCAGCTCAAGGACTCTGCTAAGGGACTTTGAGCAGTTTAAGGCAGGAAGGGGGCTATGAGCTGGTGGACTGGGAAACTGCTTAGCTGACTGTGATGGTTAATGCGGCACCGAGGAGCTTAGTAAAGCACACTTCCTGGTGTGTCTGATAGGTCAGGGTAGCATGAATTTGGGGATTATGCCTGGCCCCTACTCTTTTTCCTCTGGCTTTTCCTGCCCCGTGCTTGTTAACAGCAGCTTTCTTCTGCCATGTTCTACCATTGATGTTCCGTGTTGGAGCCAGCCTACCATGGACTGAAACCTCTGAAACTATAAATAAACTTTTCTTCATTTAAGCTGTGCGTGTCAAGGATTTTGTCCCAGCAATGAAAAGGTATAGTTGTAACTCTGATTTCTGCAATTTGGTCTTTGTTTGCCTTTGTCATATACTTAACCCCAGGCTGCCAATAACCTGGAGCCAGGCAGGCCATGTCAGCGAGAGAGCTGGTAAGGCCCTGAGCCTGTGTCCGAGCCCAGGGCTGGGACTCTCCCTACATGTGAGTCTTATGGACTCTTCCACACCTTGGTCTTTGTACAAATGTATAACACAAGTGTATCGGAACCCATTCGATTTCGCAGGAGCCTCAGAAGGACTAGAGTTTCTAAGCCCAATGTTCTTGCTCTCCTTGAGAGCTTAATCTGCCCATATCCTCCATCCCTTCTGAATCTCTCTTGCCAGATAGTCATTTCTCCAGGATCCACACGGGCCAGCTAGGGTCCACTCAGCACCTTTCTTGCCGTGGCCTCCTTTGGCAGGCATTGTCATCCGCCCTCCTGACTTGTCCTGACTTTCCTTCAGGCCACACATCACTCTTCCTCTTCTTCTCTGGCTCATGTTCCAGTTGTAATGTTTTTGAGTTTGGGATTCCAATTTTTCCACCTTTGTCCTTTCTGTCTCCAGGGACTGCTGATTGCTACCAGGCCGTGATTTCTTGGAGCCCTTTCCAAATCACACTTTTCCAGGGAGAACATCCATCCTGAGTGAGCAGCAGGCAGTGCCCAGGGCTGCAGAAAGCAGGCACTAGCATGCCCCTGGTTGTTCTGGAAAGCCCCCCTCACCCCCACTCTGCCCTGCTCTCTTGGCCTACAAACAGGCCAGCTGCAGACACATCAGTGGCAGAACCACATTTTAGCTTATTGAACCCAGTCACATGTTTTATGATGGAGTTTTGAGAAATGTACAACTTGTACCTCAGTTCCCTCCTGCTGTTGTTGAAGACGGGAGGGCAGACAGAGGTTGATGGGGAGGCTAAGACAAATGTATCCATGAATATTCTTCCATATTTAGAAATACCTCCTTTGTATATATATATGCATGTAAAGAATCTACTTATAAGAATGATATATCTATAAAGCAAGTGTATTCTAGAAGATAAGACTAGGTGAGGTTGATATTCCTTCTAGATCTACTTAAATGTTTACCTCCAATTTGACTGCAAATCTTTCATCAGAAATGGTGGTGTTTGGCGTCATCTAGTGGTAGAAATGGGGATAACAGATAGAATTGAGGCGGAAGAGGCCATCTTCTGAAAGCATGTGAAACCTTTCCCCAGACAAAACAGTTAGACTGTGTTCCCAGCTTCGGGAGAGATCTGTCACCATAGGGACTACAGGAGATACGCTTAACTGCCACTTGAGGTCATGCCTCATCCTAAAGACTGCTTTTGTTGTCTTCCTGCTGTGAGTTTAGGACAGGTGCTGAGCACATTGTCAGTTTTTCCAGGAAAGTGGATGTGAGTAAGGGTCAGAACAACAGGAGCGATTGTCCTGCACTCCTAGGTTTGCTTGAGTGGATAAAGCTGCCTCCCTGAGGCTTCTTCATCATTCAACCCCTCCTCAAGTCTGCATTTTCTCTGCCATTCATTGAGGTCAACACCTCCACCATTTATTTCCCTGGTATCCCAAGGAAGGTGGCCCTGTGCCTAGAGCCCTCCCCAGAGACGATGAGATGCCAGACACAGACTGCGAGGAGGGCAGAAGCCAGAGCAGAGAATGTGCCAAGAAGTCTGCAAGAGCAGACTATGAGAAGATTTAGTGAAAACTGGCCGCTAAACCTCCTGTGCCTGAATGCTCATCAATGAGCATGTTGTGACATTGTCGTCTTCAGAGTCCCAAAGACTGAGCAAGCACAAGGTGGACACTCTGTGTTGATTACTATTTGCTTCACCATTGGGGTCCAGAAGGCAGGGACCAGTGGTGAGGCCCCAGGAAGAGCAGGGGGGTCCCAAAGCCAAAGAGGAAGGTCACCTTGGCAAGGGTTGCAGGGTTGGGACACCGGCCTCAGAGCCAAGTTTGCTGGCAGATGACTGCTGTTGTACAGACTGTGTTTTCCTGGGGTGGCTTTGCTCAGGAAGGGGCCCATAGGGCAACAGTTGGGTTCTTATTCTTTCATACTCTGACAATCTCAGGGCTCCAGAAATTGCTGTTTGAAAATTTCTCAGCTCTCAGATCAGCCTAAGTCAACCTTGAGGAGTTGCCTGGCATACACCAACGACTCAGATCCTGCCAAGAGAGAAGGGGAAGCCCGTGGTGGCAAGATGTACACTCTTGTTTGAATGTCCTCGGGGCCACTTTTTCTGATCAGGCACTATCTGTAAAGAGCTGCTCCCTATCCCTGAAGCCAAGAAAAATGTGTTGTCCAAGCAATGAGTTTTATTTAGCCTTGAGAAGGAATGAGATATTGATACATACTACCTATGCTAAGTAAAGGAAGCCAGCCACAGAAGACCATGTCACATATGATTCCATTTATGTAAAATGTCCAGAATAGACAAATCCATAGACAGAAAGCAGATAGTGGTTGGCTGAGATTGGGGGTGGGGTGGAGGCAGAAAAATGGGAAATCACTGTTCTTGCATTCTGAATTTATTTTGGGAGCAACAAGAATGTTCTAAAATTAGATTGGAAGGATGGTTGTATAGCTTTGTGAATATTCTAAAAGCTAACCAAATTCTACATTCTAAAGGATAAGTATTATGATATGTGAATTGTATCACAGAAAAGCTACTAAATATATACAAATCTTTACAAGGTAAAAAGGATTAGCCTTCCTGCATCAGTTCAGAGATGGAAAGGCTGACACCAGAAGGGCCAGGCTTGGCCTCCAGGGCCTGGGCTTCCAGGGAGCTGGGGAACCCCCAGGATCTGGGAACCTCCAGCACTGGGGAGGGTGGGCATTGCATGCTGGGAAATGACTTGGTGTACCTTCAAATGGGTGATTTTTGTTTTCTTGTGGTACTGCTCCCTGCTCTCTTTAAATTAAATTAAATTAAATTTTATTTTAAGAATCTTGCTAAGTCACTAAGTTGTTCAGGCTCAGCTCTGACTTGTGATCCTCATGCCTCAGCCTCCAATAGTTCTGGGATTATAGGCAAATAGCTATTTTTAAACTGATCTTTTAAATATTTATTTTGTGATAGTAGGAAGATGAATGTCATGTAAGTCAAACTGTATATAATCCACCCTTTATACCCTTCAATGACATACTAAGGTAGTTACAATCTAGATAAAATCCAAGTGACAAACAATCCCTCATTAGCAGTTAGAAAGTACTAACACTGTGTACCTGTGTCTTAAAATGAACAGAAGGAACATTTATCTTTCCTCCATTTCTCTCCTTTGTGGGCACAGAGATGCCCATATGTAGTGTTGCATTAACAGGCATAGGCACTTGGAACAGCCCTCTCTGTATTCCAGGAACACGTGCCCCCCTTTTAGAGCTGCTCCCCGGAGGGCTGACCCTTGGTGGGAATAAAGCTCGCTCCACCCTGCTTGGGATCGTCCTGGCTGCAAAGCTGAAAGCCACAGAATTGCTTCCGAGAACAGTCTTCAGCTCAGCACTTGTAAAGAAAGGGCCACAGTGCGCCCTGGGAACTGCCACCTGCTCATGACTGTCTTCCTTCCTGCTTGCCTAGGGGACACAGTGATTGACTCTTGGGCACACCACTTTGCCCAGGTGGCAGAAGGAGCATAATTCATGGCTTTCCTACCCAGAAGCTTCTTTATACCTCTGCTCCCAGCCTGTTTGTCTCTGTTTCCCACAAGCCACAGAAATATAAGTTCCCTGCCATGTGGAAAAAATCAGGGGTGTGGTTCTCTGAAGGGCTCAGACCTCCAGTAAGGCTTTGATTTGTGTGAGCAGGAGAAGATTGCAGGCTGAGGAGGGGGGCCCTTTCCTTGGGGGGCTGGAGGTTGGTGAGCAGGGATAACTGGGTATTGCTAGAGAGAACAGTGATGAGCAAGAAACCAGGGACTTGTTTCTGACAGAGACAAGTCAGAGAGGAATTCTCACATTTCTGTCACAAAACTAAGCAAACAAAGATTAAGCAAACAAATATGTTGAAGGGCAGTCTGACATTTTTTTTTGGCAGTTTATTTTGCGATGCTTGGTATTTCTCATTGAATTAGTGGCAGTTACCTTTTGTATGTACCCTGAGAGATGGAGGAATGCAATGATTGGCAACACTGCCTGCTCTGATTCAGCTAATTGCCTCTCAGGGACTTTGGTCAGGTTACTAAACTCTCTGTGCCTCAGTTTTCCACCTGTAAATGCCAATAGTAATAATACCTCTTAGGGTTGTTGTGAAGGTTAAATGTCAGTGCATGCAAAACCCTTAAGGCAAGGCCTGTCATATAGAGACACTATGGGAAAGGAGCATTTTTGGCTTCTTCATGAGGAAATCTCAGTCAGTCCTGGGTCACTGGCCCAGTGTCTTGGCCTTCTGTTGCCAAGTCACTCAGCTAGGGTTACCAGGAAGCCTCTCCTTCCTTAGCGGGGTAAACAGATCGAATGGACAGGAAGGAATTCAGACTTCTGAATGTGCTTCAGTCCCCAGAATGCAACAGGGGTGGGAAGAAGTCAAGTCACCGTTCTGCTATTATTGTGAAGGGCAGAAGCACAGGTTTATGTAGGCAGCGTTTGATAACAATTTTTCTGGGCACAAAGATACGCAAATCTTATCTAAGTGCTTTTTAATAGCTTGTTTAAACATATGAGTCACTGTTTCGAAGTAAGATGGAATGTTTACTCAATATGGGTTCTGATCTTAATACTGTGCTATTCATTTTTGTCTCTAGAAAAAACATAAGGAGAGTGGGCTTTGACTTCTGTTCTGGATTTTCCCAGATTGTGTTCAAATCAAACCTTCCAAAGGGCATGTGTTCCCTGAGACAAACGTCATCATTGCTGGTGGCTGAACCCATGCGTGGGCAGTGCTGGGAAATGTCATTCAGCCCATAGACTGGCAGTTCTCAGCTCTCATGTGCTTAGGAGGACGAGAACGAGATGTCACAGTGA